TGTTTAGCGTATAAGTGAAAAATGAGTAAGCCTGAATGCAACACCCACTGTGTATTATTCCTTTTTAAGAGTGTGAAACTTCTGAGACTGAGCTGTGTTTTTTCTATAAAAACCTAACCTTTCTTTTTAAGAAGCTTTAAACAAGTTTTTTAACAAACTGATCTCAGCAAAGATGATCAAAGTTTTCTATATGCAGCTCTAAATAAAATACCTGCAGGAGAGGGAACGGTGACTGCAGCTTTCTGAGACAGCAACCCTGCAAATGGCTCTGCATCCGTCCATCTCCAGGACGGACCTGGAGCAGGGAGCAGGAGTTGCTGCTGGCTTCCATTTGCAGTGGTAGCTCTCACCTTGAGCTGTGTGTGAATGCACAAGAAAATGTTGATTCTGGCTTCATGAAGCTTAAACTTTAAAAAAGATCGATGTAGTTGTTATTGTTCATACCGCAACGGGTGTCCAGCTCCAAACACCTTGATCCATATGAAAGGGGCAAGAGAGGCTTTCCTGCTAGCAGCTAGTCTTTTAGCCTTTAACAAATGCTCCAGGAGGAAGGCAGTGTAAGGCAGGTGAGGAGGAGGAATGAAATGCAGTGTCTCCTGGGAAAAAACACGGCCTCTTGCACTTTTCTGCACAGTTTTCAAGGTAGTCTCAAACTTCAGGATGAAGTAAATCCTTTCTCTGCTCTTAAAGAATTGTTCTTCTGCAGCCCCAGAATTTTCCTGTAGGCAAATCCTAGACTTATTTCAAAATACCTGCCTGCAGGTATACTCTGCTTATGCCTTATAATTTATTTGCAGATATTTGAATGCTCTAAGATACTTGTTTCTGGCTTGACCTACATGTGTGTGTTCACATCACCTTTTTTATTTTTTTCCTGGGAAGTTTCCCTAGGGAGAATTGGCAGGTTAGAGATATTTGCTGCTAGCTTATCACTTCCATGTATTGGAAAACTCCTCGAAGTGCCCTGCAGTTACTGTATTTGCCAGGGACATAGCTTGCACTGACACCTGCACAGCTTTTGTTTTCTCTTTTTCTTCACAGTTGCTTACCCTTTCTGTCTGTTTTGGATCTACATGTGAAACGTGAAACTATGAATCCTCCTATAGTTTTCTGTCTTGAAACAAATGTGGATTCCACTTTTGTGGAGTGAGTGGAGCCTCAGCCTGCGCTCGTTCTTCTCTGCCTTTTGGCCCTTCACGTGGTCCCCTGCTGAGGGCTGTGGAGTTAGAGAGAGGAAAGCAGCATGCAGTGCCCACACCAGACTCCAGTCTGCGCATCCCCCAGCCTGGTTCTGCCGCTGGGGACTGGCAGGGATTTAATTAAAGATGCAGAGGTGTCACAGGTTTTTTTCTGAAGTGACATATTTCTATCGCAGAAATCTTGTTTGCTAATGGAAATTATTGGTTTAAAAAAAAAAAGAGACTTGAACAACAAAAATGTTACTAGCTATGTAGAAAAAATGCCCTTCTGGCACACGGAAAATCTTGACCATGAAGGCATTGAGTTACATGGATGCGATGTCTTGCCCATTTGTCTGGTGCCTTGTCTCCAAGTGTGGCCACTGCTACATGCTTCAGAGAATTCATCGGGATTCCTAAAGGGAGAATAACCTGCTAGTACAGAGGTTTCTGCCTACTCTCCCTTTCAGGGAATGGCTGACTCTTTGAGGCTTTACCTCTCTTCAACCTGTCAAAGGCTTTACTGTCTTCTGCTAACCTGTTGCTAGTTGTTTTGATTCATATGCGTATCCAGTTTATTAATTTTCCATTCTACGAAGTGCTTGGCCATACCGATACTTTGCAACAGTTAAGTTTCATGAATTGTTTGTTGTTGTTTTTTGATAAAGGTAGCATTTCCTTTCCTCAGTTTAAGCATGCTGCTCTTTTAATTGCACTGATGGGATGATGGCTGTTTCTGTGTTTATCTCTACCCCATTATTTTTGCATATTCATGTTTTGCTTGTTAGTTGAGGCTGCTCTAGACTAAGAGATGATCTCTTCATAATGATGGCTCTTATTTAAGTTGATGTCGTTAATTTAAACCCTAAAAATACAGGAGCGTGTTTTGGATCATTCTTTCTGTTGTTCATTACCATACATTTGTGAAACATGTATTTCATCTGCTGTCGTGTTCTCTCTTCACTGATTGGGGTGTTGGTCTCAAAAGCTCATCCAGCCACCTCCGATACAGACTCAGCTAAGTAATGCATCTTCTGTCAGCTCCCGCGCCTCGCTGGTCACCTTGTGGTCAGCGTCCATTTGGCTTTGTTAGGACTTCCAGGTTTTAATCCTTTTTATTAAGGTTATTGTTTGTTCGCCTAAATATTTTGTGATTATTACCTATGCGGTTAAAACCCTGCACCTGTACTGAGGGCCAGCTGCATACGTCCTGCTTCGGGAAGGAGGAGAAGCTGGAATATTTTGATCTTGTTAATTAGTACCTTTCACACCGATTTTTAGCTTAGTTTGTTGTAAAAGACAGCAAGGAACCCTTTGCTTTGACTCTCTGAAACATAAATAACTTTTATGAGGGAGATGTTTCCATTTTCGCAGTTTCTCTCTTCGTCGGGGTAGTATATTATTCTGGGCACCATTTTGCTGGTGTCTGAGTGATGATACATTTTTACTGTTGCGTGGACAGATGGAGAAGGGAAAGGAGAAGAAATGGCTGAGTCTTTAATTAGCCGTGCAGAGCCAGAGCTTGCTTTTCCAGTGCGTCGGGGGTTTTATATAGGGTGTGGAGACTCAGCCGCTCGATGGATCCAAATTAGCAAAATTGTGTATCCACCGCCAGGGTGTTTCTATGGCAACTGTCTCTCAAATCATATATACAAACAGACCTGGCAGGGGGTATCGCCTTCTATTTGGTCTGTAGGAAACCATCGGAAAAGGGGTGTTTTCAGGCTGCAAAAAGGCCTTGCGATGTAAATATTTTTTACTTTATGGTGACTGGTATAAGTTTTGGGATTGCTGCTCGATGCTGGCTCCATTCTGAATCTGTTTGTGTTATTGCACATTGACTGGCTGCTGTTACTCCTGCTAGGTGTGAGGGTGATCACCGGGAAACTTACACAGGGTTGTGAACGCACAGAGTTACCAGGCGCATCCTTTAGCTCATAAACATCTTGCCACTGCACGTAATTAATAGCCTATCTACAGCCACACAGGTAGACCGTATACTACGTGGCTTTTGTGCTGAACAAACCAAATTATACATTCGTTTCTTTTCCCCTTATTCTTCTTCATAAAACAGCAGAAATCTGGAGGGTCTTCTGTCACTGGCATACCTGGTGAATTAAGGGAAATTATCAACCTGATCAAATTAGCAGGGTAAGAACAGCCAAAGTGGCTGTGACTCTCTGCCTAAGTGACTCTATCTTTATAAATTCTCTCCACATGTCACTTTTTCTGGTGGAAAAAATGAATGAATGATCCATTTAGCCTACTGCCCTCTTTTTGAAATGTAGGGCAATTATTATTTGCTTGTCCAAAGTCAGGCACTGCTAAAGCATGGGTCATTTCAAATCAGAGGTGGTTATTTCTTGCAGCCATCAGTTCCGTGAGGACTCCTTTCTGTTTTGAGTCAGATAAAGGGGAGTTAGCGAGAGGCCTGTGCTGAATAATTTTTTTCACTTACGAGTATTTTGGATGTTCATTGACTGGCAAGGTGCATAACGGTATTTGTCTAGAATAATTCCTAAGCTTGCCTAGTAGCTCCAAGGGATTGTGCCTCTCTTTGCATTGGACTTGCCTTATATAATGGGTCCACAAGAGACTGTACACAGAACTGCTATGTAAAGGTAGATAAGACTTACTACACCTGAGCGCACAACCTTTCCCATTGCAGAAGCTTATACATCCCTTCAGTGAAAATGGTGTATGGTGCATAAATTACAGGACTGACAGAAATGTACTCTAACCTGTAGAATGTGAAAAACGTGTTAATTTTTGTTTGTTTTCTCTTTTTATAATCAGGCATTTGCCAAAAGCTTGGTATGATTTATTCTTTTCTTTTTAATGAATTGTTAAAAATGTTTGAAAAGGCATTAAATCTTCCTTTCTGCTATTAATCTGTAAAAGGGGAAGGGGATTTTAAATGGCCTCTTAGTATATTGCTTTATAAAACTGCTGATTCTAGCAGCACCAGAATAGGAATACATACTAATGTAGGAAACACTGAAGGCAGTCAGAGCCTCCTGCATTTATGGAGGAAAAGACTAATAGCTCCATTTTAACAAGGCTCTTAACACTTTGGGCCATCAGCAGGCATTGAGTGAGTGAAATTGGGAGAGCTCCTGTGTGCTAAAAGCATTGAAGTTCACCGTTTTGTACCCCAGTTGGAGCCTTCCTGATAGAATTGCGCTCTCCAGCCAACTCCGGTTGCCATCTTGAAAACAAACCAAGTAGCAAGCTGGCATTTTGACTGAGTGCACTAATGCTTCACTTTTGAAATGGCACCGGAGCATGATAAATGCACTTAACTCTCAGCTGGATACTTAGCTTTGCAGTGGTGTTAGGGAAAGTTTCTGGATTTGTGTTAAGAATGAAAGCAAAGCCTGTTTATATCACGTTTTATACTTGAGCAAAACACACAAGTGGAGAAAAAACAGCAAACTTGGTACTAAGATGCTAGCTTTGATTCAAGTAGTTATGCCACTGGAATCAGAAAGGCTGTGCTTAATTAGATTACATCCTCACGTTACTGAATTCTAGGAGGAAGGCCAGCCAGGGAAGGAGAGAGAGTATCCCAGCTAGCACACAGATGAGGAAAAGGCTCTGAAGATTGTACCTGTTTCAAACAGTTCTTTGATACGGAAGCCGTTCTTGTTAGGAGTGATAAGATTATTTACGGGATTTGGAGCTTCTTTGAGCCCCTGCCTTTCTTTTGTTCGTTTTGGCATGTTGCAGCATCATGTGTTCTCTGCTTATCGTTTTCAGATGCATTGTTAGTAGCTGGGCTGCATAATTGATCTTCATCTCTAATTACTCTTCTCTCCACAGGTGCCTGGAAAAGGTCCAGATGGGAGCTCATACAATCTCCACTTCGAGGGGATGGAAAGGCAGTATGCATCCTTACCCAGGTACAGCACCAAGCCTCATATACACACACTCTGATTCACCCTCCCTCCGATGGGTAGGGAAGTCAGCCCACAGCTGATGTCCAGCTCCGACATGAGAGATTATTTTGCAGTTTTGCCTTGTCACCTTTTGCTGCTGATTTAGTGACATCTTTATAACTGTACTATTAATTTGGACCTTTGAATTTATAAAAAAAAGTCTTTCATTGAACATGTCAGCAAGAGTCATGATCCACAGGTAGAGAACATGACATTGAGGAAGCTGGCTCTGCAAGAGTTATAACAGTTCGTAGCAGAGCATAAATGACCGAGTTTATAGTGATATAATCCTAGCTGGCATTGACAGAGTACTGCTGTGGAAAGCCTCCACTACAGCAGCCACAGCTACTGAAGTCCCACTGTTGCTGCAAGGGCTGTCTGACTAGCAGTCCTATTCCAGTAGAGCTCTCTGTGCTTTAACTGAACGTTGTGGAAATGAGAGTGAATTCTCTGAGGGCTTTTTTTAATTTTTAAGCCTTATCAACTCAATGAAGAGTAATTCTAGTCTGAAACCAGTGGGGCATAACAAAAAAGAAGCATTTCAGAGATTTCAATCCCGTTTCTATGGGAGTTCTAATAGCAGAGTGTAAGATTTAGCAAGCCAGAAAGTGGAGCAAGAGGATGCTGGAAGAGCTAGTGGGAAGCAGTGGGAGGAAAACAAAAATAGAAAAATATCCCCCCTTTAGAATTAGAGGGCTGGGAAAGACCTTAGAGGGGTTGCCCAGTCCACTTCTTGGACCTACAAGCAAGATAATTTGTAAAAGCAAAGCAAAAATAGCTATTTACAAGCAAGAAGAGATTCTTCACTGTGAAGTAGTGCTGGCATTTAGGAAATCAGTCAATAGTTTCTTTTTGCTTCTGTTTCTTTTTCCACTGAGCTATTTACATTCAAAGGTGTCACTGGAGAGATTGATTGATAAATATGTAATGCTGTGTCCAATTCCAGATGAAAATACAAAGAATATCTTACTTTTGGAAACCAATATATAAAGGCTGTCTCACAGGACATTGTTGGATGTTTGTAGGCATTTTTAATGTACGTGGTTTCTAAACCAAAGGATGTGTCTGTAGTTTAGTTACTGCCTTCAAACGATCTTTGTGTCAGCCATCGTTTTGGAAATTCATCCTGTGCAGTAACTGGCTTTTCTAACAGAAGCCTGCTTTCCAGCAGTGTGTCCTGTATGTATTATCTATTTTAAACTTCAATTTTGTTGAGTACTTTCTTGTGAATTACAAGAATAAATTAGCAATTGGTGCCCAGTATTAACTCTCTACAGCAATTTTCGTATTCCTGTATCATTTCTCTTTTTATTCATTTTCCCCTTAAGCTAATCAACCTTATTTTTTCAATCTTTATAAAATGGAAATTTCCCAGTGAAGCAACTTCCATCACCCAGAATTCTTCTTATTTCACCAGTATTCCTTTCAAGCGAGGATGACCAGAAGTGAGCACGACAGTGCAGATACAGACGTGCCCTTGCTTTATGCAGCAGTGTTCTCTGTATTCCTTCTATCCCGTTCCTTTTCAAACCCGCTGCATCTTCAGCATGTCCCAGAGGTGTGTGTACTGCTCGCCTCTGCACCCTGTGTTTTTGTGTTGTTTGGTTGGGGTTTTTTTAAATGTAGGTCTGTCTGAATCAGATCATGAATCTCACAGTGTTCTTCCCAAAACCTCCATTTAACTTGCGGGAAACGTGACTATCCAGCTCTTATGTCAGGTTTGAGTATTTAGCTGGCTGGGACTCCCCATTGAGGAAGTCATCCAAACATTCAATAAGCTTTTGAAGATCAGTGTGAAGAGTGTCATTTCTCTCAGTGCCTAAGAAGATTATGCTGGAGAGTGAGAGGGCTCGCACTTCAGCGGGGTTGTGCGTGCTTCCTGACCCGAGCACTCGCACTGCTGCACACAGGCCGTGCCATTGCCGCGTTTCCAGAGGGTTTCCACCCTGGCAGGAGCAGAGCTTTGGGATAGCGCACCCTTGGGTGTGCCTGCAGTCCAGCAATCGGCTGCTGCCTTTTGTACTTAGGTTTTGTAAGTTTTGCACTTTCATGTTGCTGCAGTAATTAAGCCCTGGCAGTCACAAATGACTAGATTGCTACAGTGAAGTCTAAATCCAGAAGAAGGAGATGCAGTCTCATTGCCAGCCACTAATGGAAATGAGTGATTTCTTTTGTTCTCATGGCTGACTGCCCAGGAGTATAGAGGAATCCAGGTAAAAACCACCCATTTGCCAACCTATTTTCAGCGGAGGATCCATGAATACTACTGGAACGGACAGCATTATTAAAAAAAAATAAGAGAAAGAAATAGGAAGGTAGAAAGAAATACAGAGGTAGTATTTCCTCAAAGAGCAGCTTTCTTCTCCCCAGCACTCTAGTATTAGTTTATGGTTTCCTGCCCTTGTCTTGTCCCTGTCTTCACCTTGGTCAAACCACTGAGCTGCATTTGGTATGGACATGGTATATAATTGCCTGCATACTTAGCCATTTAAGTCCAGTTTAATAAGAGACACTTAAAGAGGCTTCAGATGGGGGTTGTAGATGCTGGGAAACAGATTTTTATTGCAATATTGTGTTGAGTCCAGGAGGATATGACCTTTGCCTGCAGTTCTGGTGTGGCACAACACAAGGAAAGAGAGGAAAGCACTTGGACAGCAGCCAGTTTCACTGGCTGAGGGGGGAGGAGGGGATCTGTGCCATGTCAAGAGTAGCTGGGACCTACACAGGGAAACTGTTTTTTTGGACAAACTGAGTAAGAGAGCATTGGTTTTCCTCCCCACTGGGCAAGAAGGAGGAATGATCACCTGCCAAATAGCTTTATGAATGTCTGGTGCCCCTAAGGCACTACCCATTCCCATGCAAAGGCACGCATCCTGCATGAAGGGGAAGTCAGATTGCCAGCAGCATCAGAACACATCTGCTGCTGGGTTGTAAAAATCTAAGCTTTGAAACATCATTGCTGCTTTGCCCTTTTGTTTTGTATTTTTCTGTCTTTCTCTGAAGCTGCTAATTTAAGCCTAGATATTATGGGCCAAATTCAGGTGATATAAGTCTGTGCTAACTGTATTTGAGGAATTCAGCTGTGTCAAGTGTGCTTGCCTTTTCAGTAGATGCAGCAGCAAATCCAGTGTCCCACTCTCACTGAGCTCAGTGATGCCCTTTTTGCTTTTGAGTGGAGGATCTGTTCCTGTGTAAGGTTACATTTTTAATTAAAAGCTGAAAACAGGAGGCAGTAGCCTTTAGAGGAAGGCTTTGTATGTGACTGGCTTAATGAGTGGCCAGCTGAGTTACGTAGTTAAGTTTCTAGGTAAAATAATGCCAGTCTGTAGACTTGGTTTGGAAATGTCTACAGAGGCAAACATCTGAATTAGATGATAAGTGGCTGTGGCAGGAGAGTGGCAGGTCTTCATCTCACGCTGCATTGTGCTATGCTGTCTGCAGAAAAGCAGCAAAGTGGGAAAGACAGAATGGAAGGCTTTGCAAGAGAGATACAGTTCTTTGCACTTAATACTTACGTGTTGCCCTGGGGTTACGGCTAAGTAGTGCTGAGTACTAGTATTAAGCAAAGTTAAATCCTCCTGCTTAGGAGGAGAATGGCTTGATTCTTATACCTCTTAGCCTCTTCTTTTGTGGAGAGGAGCAGGGCAAGGGTGTGGGAGCCAGAAAAACATTTGTATTTTTTAAACTATTTTTAATGCCTGTTTTCTTGGTGTAATCCAGAATATTTTCCTGATGGAGCTATGGAACAGATATGAAGCTGAAGCTGCTCTGTTTCTTCATAGTTTTATTTTTGAGCTTGCTTTTATGGAAGTCTGTCTTAATGTAAATCCCAGTCTTGCCAATGGCAGCCTTGTTTGGTGAAATCTCGTGTTCGAGGACACGTTCTTTTCTGTGTTGATGGAAAAGCTGGCTGTGACCAAAGGCAGATTGTCAGACACTGGGACGGGACACTGGTGACATGATGAGTGTAGATCAGAAAGCTCAGCCATCTTCCTGGTAAGAAATGCTGATTCCAAAGGAAAGCTAATACACCAGACTTTCCCTGGAATCCTCGTATTATTGAAAAACACGCATTTTTGTTGAGAAAAGGGGTGGGGCTGGAAAAGCAGTAAGAGCATTAGAAAATAACTGCTGGCATGGAAAAATGAGTTCAGGCTGTGTAGATGAGTTCAGCTGTATTGCTGTGGCTGGGAGGAGACCGCTGAGCAAACTGGTAATTGGCTCACAGGAATATCTGTCTTGAGTGTAACATGTATCTTAAAACTGGGAAACTTGCAAATGTGTTAAGGAAACTAGCCTTGCAGTACAGTGGCTGCACAGTCTTGCCATGCTGGAAGCTTCTTTTCAGATTGACCATGCAACTTGCGTTTCTTAAGGCAGTAGCTAAAAACAGCACATCCTCCATTTCTAGGTATGAAGCCAGAAAGGACAATTTTGATCACCTTGTCTGAGCCCTCCAAGACCTTCTACATTTCTGCATCAAACTAAATTTCAGTTTTGATCCATCGCATTACTTTCATAAATGTATTTACAAAAGCATCTAACCTAGAATTAAAACGTCAAGTTGTGGAGAATTCATTGCATTCTTCAGAGGTTAATTATTTTACTGTTGAAAAGGATTATGCCTTTTTTCCTTTCCTAAGTCTGAAATTACCCAATTTTAGTTTCTAGATACTATGGTAAATATTTTTTCTGCTAGATTTTAAGAGCGAAGCCTGCAAAATGCCTCCCCTTCAGTATTACTATGCAGTGATCATTTGTGTTATCTTTTAACCTCCCTTTCAATAAATTAAGTACATTGAGCACTTAGGTCTTACACTATAGAGCATTAAAACAGCATTGACTCAAGGGACCAGAGTCCCCATGCAGTCAATTTATGAGGTAGCCTCTAGATTTGAGTCAAAAACATTTCCAACCCTTTGGATCAAAAACAAAGTTTCTGTAACACCTGTATCATTAAGAGA